TCAGCTCCTGGCCTAGTTTTCACAGCTGATACTGAGCTTCTCCAGCAGTTCTTTCCACAGATGTAATCGATATGATTCCTATGCATACCACCATCAGGTGAAATCCAGGTATATAACCTGCGTTTATGTCTCTCAAAAATGTTTTTGCTATGAATACATCATTGATTGTGCAAAATATATATAAGGTTATTATAGCACTGTTGGTAATTGTGAAATACTAGAAATCACCTCACTTTACACAAGACAGTGGTTGAATACACTGTGATTCATTTACACAGTGGAGTACTATTTAGCTGCATATCCAAAACATTTTATAGTTCTGAAGGTTGAAAGTCCAAAATGAAGATGTCAGTGCAACCATGTTCCCTCCAGGGTCATGAGGAGAATCTTCTTTTGCCTCATTCAAGCTTCAAGTTGTTGTTAGGTGTCTTTGAGTCATGTACAACTCACAGTGACCCTATGAACAACAGATATGAATCCTGCCTATCATGTGTCATCCTCAACATCTCTGACACATTTGAGCCCACTGCTGAAGTTGCTATGTTAGTCCATCTGGTTGAGGGTTTCCTCTCTTTCACTGATACTCCATGTTTCCAAGTATGAGGTCCCTCTCCAATGATTAGGATCTCCTAGCAACATGACCAAAGTATGTGAGATAAAGCTTTGTTATTTTTGCCTTCAAGGATCACTCTGGCTGCAACCTCTCCAATACATATTTGTTTGTTCTTTTGCAAGTCTATGGAATATTCAGTACTATTCTCCAACACCAGAACTCAAAAGCATCAAGTCACTCCATGATTTGAAGATTTCACTACAGTGACAAGAAGTTAAAACAAAGGCCAGAGATGCTGAAGTAAAAAAAGTGGAAAAGAATATTTCAAAGGTCAACTCTAGGAGATAAAGTAAGGTATTATAATAGAAAGAGCAGTGAGCTGGAATTGGAGACTAGAAGGAGAAGAATGCATTCAGCATTTCTCAAGCTGAAATAAATTAAAAACAAATAGAAGTCTCAATTTGCAAGGCTGAGAGAAGGCATGGGCAAAATCTTTAATAATACAGGAGGCATCAAAAAGGACGGAGTGAATACACAGACCGTGCCAAAAAGAATTGGCTGCCCTGAAATATTTCAGGAAGATATATCAAGTGGTTGCCCGAAAATTCTTTTCCTTCTTTGTCTTGTAGTCACTTAATTCTAGTTTCTTCCTCCATCTTCACTTGATATCTTCATTCTATATAACTGTAACCAAATTTCCAATTTCATTTAAGGATATTGTTGTTGGGTGCCATTGAGTAGAGCAGGACCCATTGTGTTCCTATGAACAACTGATCTAAACCCTGTCCTATTCTGTGCTGTCCTGACAATCTCTGACACACTTAAGCTGAAGTCACTGTGCCAACTCACTTGGTTGAGGGTCTTCCTCTCCCTACATTATGCTTTCCAAAGAATAACCTCTTCTAGCAACATGCCCAAAGTATGTAAAATGCAGCTTCATCATCTTTGCCTGTAACAAGCACTCTGGCTGTACCCTCTTCAAGATCTATTTCAGTCCAACTCATTGAGTTTCTTTCTTTCCTTTACTGACCCTCCCCCTCTCCAAGCACGATCCCCATTTTGAAGGAATAGCATCTCCTAGCAATATGCCCGAAGTATGAGAGATGACGTTTGACTATCTTTGTCTCCAGGAACACTGTGGCTGTTCCTCTTCCAAGACAATTTGTTCTTTTGGTAGTCCATGGGATATTCAACATTTTTCTCAGAACATGAACTCAAAAGGAGTGATTCTTCTTCTGTCATTCTTATTTACTGTCAGAGAAAATTACTGAAAACATCTTGACTTGAATTATGAGCACCTTAGTCTTAAAACTGACATCACTGCTCTTAACATTTTAGACAGGTCTCTGACAGTGAACTTACCCAATGAAATATGACTCATTATTGCTCATACCAAGGTGCCGGTTATTGATCCAAGCAAGATGAAATCACTGACGAATGCAATCCTTTCTCCATTTATTTTAATATTGTTGCTTAATGACCTGGTGATGAGGACCTTTGTTTTCTTAATGTTCTGATGTTGTCACACTGAATGAAGTCTGTAGTCCTTGAAATTTTGCACCAAGTGTTTCAAATCCTCTTCACTTTCCACAAGCAAGGTTACATCATCTGTATAACACAGGTGATGAATCTTCCTCCAGTCTTGATGTTATATTCCTCTTCATAGAGTCTAGTTTCTCAAATGACTTGCTTTGCACACAGGTTGAAGAAATATAGACAGGATACAGCCCTGAGGCACATCTTTCCTGATTTTAAACCAGGCAATGTTCCCTTGCTCCATTTAGACAAGTTCTTGATCTAGGTATAGGTTTTGCATGTGCACAATTAAGTATTCTGAGATTCTCACTCTTCTCAGTGTTAGTCATAGTTTGTTATGTTCCACATAGTCAAAAATGCCTTTTCATAGTCAGTAAAACACAAATAGACTTTCTTCTAGTTCTCTCTACTTTCAGCTAGGATCCATCTGATATCAGCAATATCATCTCTGATACCATAACTTCTACACTCTGCTTGAACTTTTGGCAATTCCCTGTCAATACAATGTTCTAGTCATTTCTGGAAGATCTTCAGCAATATTTTTCTCTCATGTAATATTAATGATATTTTTCTCTAATTTCCACATTATGTTGGGGCACCTTCTGATGGAAGGAGAACACAGAATCACTGTACTAAAAGGAATTGGTTAACAGTAAAAAAAAACAAAAAGCATATGAACAAGAGCCAATGATAATAAAGGATGATATTCAAGCTGCATTGAAGGCATTGCCAAAAAATAAGTCCCCAGGAATTGATGGGATACCAATTGATATGTTTCTATAGACGCATCCTTGGACAGGCTCATCAGTCAATGCCAGGACATTTGGAGGACAGTTGCCTGCATAACTGGCTAGAAGAGATCCATATTTATTTCCATCCCCAAGAAAGGTAAGCCAACAGAATATGAACAAGAATAGGGGGGAAACCACCTAAAATGAAATATAAGCCAAAGACAACGCATCTAAGTGTATTTCAAATGAGTAACACAATTAAACTACTGGAGGAAAAAAATCAAAGAAGTTTTATGCTGGGACAGATAGGTAGAAAGGCTTCACCAAAATGCCTGCAAACTTTTGTTCAGTAATTTGGCCAACATTTATTTATTGCTTTTAGATAACAATATGCACTGCAATCTCAAAGGCATGCAGTTAGAATCCACCAGATGGTCTGCAGGAGAAAGAAGGGCAGTCTCCACCTGTGCAAATTACTGCCTCTGAAAACCTGCTAAAGGGTCAGCTATTGGTCTGTCTGACTCAGTGGCAAACAACCATAATAAAAGATTTTTGTAAGCCCAAATTACATGTATCAATATACTTGTAACACTAGAACTTGATTGCAATTTCTTTTGAACTTCTAACCCAAGAGAGAGTGGTGTTTCATTCTTCCCATATTGATTTTGTCACACCTATCAATTTTTACCCAATTACAATGAAGCTCTATATCACATGGTTTCATCATGATCATGTACTACTATGATGCACTTTTGTTTCTGTTGCTGCCAGCGTTTTTATGAAACTAAAAAACACAAACTCATCACCACAAAATAAGAATCAGTTTTTATCTGACCACCCAGTGATTATTGGGGGCTATAAATCACATGGGAGGAGACTGCCCATCTTTAAACTGCCAAAGTACCTAGTAGAGCTTCTACCTAGTGATTATATTACCAGAGATCTCTAGTGATTCCATAATTGCTGATTTTGTAGTTTTTTTAGTATTTTAGCTACAACTGTATGATAATTGTTGTTATGTGCCGTCGAGTCACTTATAAACTAGAGGAAGTAGTAATTAAAGCAAAAGAAGGGAGAAAGTTAAAAGGTTTTTGTTTAGTAATTAATAATGTTCCAACTAATAATGCTATAATTCTATATATGTTGTTGTTATTATGTGCCGTCGAGTCGCCTGTGACTCATAGCGACCCTGTGTACAACAGCCCTAAACTCCGCTCTGTCCTGTGCCAATCGCACTGTCTCCGACACTCCCATCACAATTATCCC